CCAAAAACAAGCATTTTTCTCGTTTCCAGACAATAACTTGTGTGTAAGTGTATGGAGCTCTCTGTCATTGTACCACAAGGTTCCATACCACAAAGGGAAGGCTAGGATTGAGTTTTGGGTTAATTGCCCAAATATGTAGGAATTGGGGGCCAAAAAAGGGCCAAAAAAAACCATTTTTCTAGTTTCCAGACAATAACTTGTGTTTAAGTGTATGGATCTCTCTGAAATTGTACTACAAGGTTCCATACTACAAAGGAAAGGCTGGGATCGAGTTTTGGGGTTATTGCTCCAAGGGGGGGTTCAAAAAGTTGGGGGGGGGGGGGGGTTCCAATTTTTTTAGAGGATTCATATTTTTTTTCAAAATGTTTCAAATTTTGAATTTTTGAAAAGTTTCAAGAAGAAATCTTCAATTGCACAGTATTGCGCAATTGATTTATAAGATCTTTGACCACATTTATTTTGTGTCAGAAACCTATATTATGTCAAAAATTTGATCACAATCCAAATTCAGACAGTATCAAACTTGAATATTGTGTCCAAATTTGCCCCAACTGTTCAGGGTTCGACCTCTGCGGTCGTATCAGGCTGCGCTCAGCGAAGCATTTTATTAACCCTATTTTCGAAAGAAAAATCGGTTATTGATTTGGGGATGTACAGCGGGCGGACGGCTGCCAAACAGTGTCCGTTCATTAACATGAAAACGCTTTGACGAATTTTTTTTCAAATTTAAATATGTTGTTTCCTGTGACTAAATGAAGGTCAAGTTCAATTTTCACGATTTTGGCTTTTCTCGTTGATGAGTTATAGCCATTTCCCAAGAATTCAATTTTTGATGAAATTCTTATTAATTACTTCATTCTGTTCAAAGGGAAATAACTCATTTTTTAAAAGATTTTTAAAAGACATTGTATGAATGATAAATGACATTTTGGATTTTTTTAACCGGATTTTTCGAAGGAAATATCGGTTATTGATTTGGTGATGTACGGCGGGCAGGCGGGCGGGTGGCTGCCAAACAGTGTCCGTTCAATAACATGAAAACGCTTTGATGAATTTTTTTAAAATTTAGATATGTTGTTTCCTGTGACAAAATGAAGGTCAAGATTTTAGCTTTTCTCCTTGTTGAGTTATCGCCCTTTTTAATATCCAAAAGTGGTATTTATAATGTGATTGAGTTATTTCTCTTTGTACAGAAATGGTTAATTATATATATAAAGTTTGAATACACTAAGTGTTTTAAAATAATTTTCTCCTGTTATCAGATTATGACAAAGCATATGGTAAATGTCTTATCTCACAATTTTATTAGAGTGACAGATTTATTTGAAAATTCTCTGTTTCCTAAGTGCTGATGATTATAAGCTATATAGGACTGTATGAATATAGTAATAAATTTATTTACTGGTCATTTTTATTTTGTAGATAATTAAGTCCCCCTAAACCATATATATTCTTACCCCTACCCCCCTTCAATTTGAGAATGTGCTTTTATCTTGTAAACGATCGAGATCCCCACCCCTAAACCATATTTATTCTTGTATGGGACAATAAAACAAATCAAATGAAATATTGGAGGAGTCCCCGGGTTCACCCCCACCCCCCTTCTTTTTGAAAACTTGTAAACGGTCAAGATTCCCACCCCGAAACCATATATATTCTTGTATGGGACAATAAAATAAATCAAATGTAATAAAAGGCGAGGCCCCTGGGGTCACCCCACCACCTCCTGTTTGAGAACTTGTAAACGGTCGAGATCCCCACCCCTAAACCATATATATTCCTGTTCGTCATTTCAAGAAGATTTGAATGACATACAGGGTCAATCCATAGGCGTCACTTATGCATATCACAAACCAATTTGTACTGGACTTTGCCCAATGTCAGGTGACCATGGGAATGACGAATTATGGGAGCTTTGTTTGGGAGACTTCGTAACAGCATCCTGTTACAATTATTTCTTGTTACTGATAAGTTTTACAGATTTTGAAAAGACATTGTATTAATGATAAATAAAATTTTGGATTTTTTTCTTCTTTTCTTTGGTAAATTGTTTGAAGAATTTTGTGGCAAGTTTGTTTGTTATTCTGTAAAAACTAATTTTCTGAATGCTATATATATATTTTTTTTATGAAGTGAACTCCTTTAAAAACTAAGCTTATATTGTCTATTAATAAACATATATTTAGATTTCTGATTTTGGGCCCTGTTTTCAAGTTGGTCCAAATCGGGGTCCAAAATTAAACTGTGTTTGATTTCAACATAAATTGAATATATATAGGGTTCTTTGAAATGCTTCGTCTAAACCTGTATTTCTTTTCATTATTAATAAGATAATACCACATTGAGGTCCAACGGGTCCTAAATTAAACTTTTGTTTAATTTCATCTAAAATTTAATTATTTGGTTCTTTGATATGCTGATTCTAACAATGTTTGAGTGTTAAATCATATCTAATTTTAGAGAACTTAGTCATCACTGGTTGTTGTTATTGTATTATTGATTATAATTTGAAAAATTGCATCATATCTTATTTTAGAGAACTATTTATCCAGTTTGAGTTATTTTCCATTGCACAGAAAATATTATGGATAAAATTAAACTGTGTTTCATTTCAACATAAATTAAATATGTATAGGGTTCTTTCAAATGCTGAATCTAAACCTGTATTTAAATATTAGATTTTTGGGCCCAGATTTCAAGTTGGTCCAAATCAGGGTCCAAAATTAAATTTTGTTTGATTCAACAAAAATTGAATTTATGGGGTTCTTTGAAATGCTGAATCTAACCATGTATTGTGAGATTTTGCAGTGTGGGCTCCTTTATCAAATTGGTCCACAATGAGGTCCGAAGGGTCCTAAATTAAACTTTTGTCTAGTTTCATCAAAAATTGAATTCTTGGGGTTCTTTGATATGCTGATTCTAATATGTACTTAAATTTTGGATATTGGACCATAATAGGTAAATGTCCAATTTCAAATTTTTCAGTTCTTTGGCCACATTCATTTTGTGTCTTTTTGTGTCACAAACATATGCTATGTCAAATATTCAATCACAATCCAAATTCAGAGCTGTTTTAAGCTTAAATGTAGTGTCCATACTTGCTCAACTGTTCAGGGTTCGACCTCTGCAGGAAAATCCGGTTTGCTGTCACTCTGACAGCCTCTTGTTTTTCATTTCTTTGGTAAATCGTTTGAAGAATTTTGTGGTAGGTTTGTTTGTTATTCTGTATAAACTAATTTTCTGAATACTATATATATAATTTTTTTTTGATGAAGTGAACTCCTTTAATTATATAATAATCTATTTTTATTAAAGGATATATTTCATTACATTACATTGTGTAGATAAAGTTGCTGACATTGATTGATAAGTTGCAGATCTATATTAGTTTGTGACAAATGAAAGAAAAAATATTTGGAACTATTAATTATATTTGATTATAATTTGAAAATAGATATACATTGTGTAACAGCATATCTAATTTAAGAAAATAGTGGTTAAATCATATCTAATTTTAGAGAACTATCTGTTTATAATTTATTCAGTTTGAGTTATTTCCATTTGAACAGAAAATTATATGGATAAAATTAAACTGTGTTTCATTTCAACATAAATTAAATATATATAGGGTTCTTTCAAATGCTGAAACTAAACCTGTATTTAAATATTAGATTTTTGGGCCCAGTTTTCAAGTTGGTCCAAATCAGGGTCCAAAATTAAACTTTGTTTGATTCAACAAAAATTGAATTTATGGGGTTCTTCGAAATGCTAAATCTAACCATGTATTTAGAGATTTTGGATTGTGGGCTCCTTTATCAAATTGATCTACATTGAGGTCCAAAGGGTCCTAAATTAAACTTTTGTTTGATTTCATCAAAAATTGAATTCTTGGGGTTCTTTGATATGCTGATTCTAACAATGTACTTAGATTTTGGATATTGGACCATAATAGGTAAATGTCCAATTTCAAATTTTTCAGTTCTTTGACCACATTCATTTTGTGTCACAAACCTATGCTGTGTCAAATATTCAATCACAATCCAAATTCAGAGCTGTTTTAAGCTTAAATGTAGTGTCCATACTTGCTCAACTGTTCAGGGTTCGACCTCTACAGGAAATCCGGTTTGATGTCACTCTGACAGCCTCTTGTTTTACAGTTAACATTCAGATTTAGTATGAGGTTAAAGTTTTTTTATACATCAATAACTTTGTCAAACCTTCTTGGAATTTTATGAAATTTGGACAGAAGCTTGTTTATGACAAAAATATAGCATCCAGAGATATTTATTTTCATTTTTCCGTATTTTACTGATAAATGGACTTAGTGTTTTTACAGTTAACACTCAGGCTCAGTCTGAGGTTAAAGTTTTTCGGTCAATAAATAACTTTGTCAAACCTTCATGGAAATTTATGAAATTTGGACAGAAGCTTGTTTATGACCAAAATATAGCATCCAGAGATATTTATTTTCATTTTTCCGTATTTTACTGATAAATGGACTTAGTTTTTTTACAGTTAACAAGTAGATATAGTCTGGGGTTAAAGTTTGTTACACATCAATTACTTTGTAAAACCTTCATAGAGTTTTATGAAACTTTGGCAGAAGCTTATTGATGATTAAGAGATAATGTCTGAAGCAAACTTTTGAAAATTATTTTTTCATTTATAGCATTTTTCTGATAGATGGACTTCGTTTTTTACAGTTAACCTTTACAGACAGTCTGGGATAACAAAAATTTGACATGATAAATTTCTAAAAACCTTCATGGATTGTTATGAAACTTAGACAGAGGCTAATCTTCAAGACCAAGAAATAGCATCTAAAGAAAAATTTGATGTTTTTTAAAATTCTGTATTTTACTGATAATCGGTCTGAAGTCAACATTACACTTTTACACTTACAGCAGCAATCGCAGGTGAGACACAGGGTTCCGCGAAATCCCCTTATGATTTTTTTTATTTGTGCCATATATATATATATATATATGTTTTTGTTGTAGGGTTTGCTTCATGTTTGGGTGATGGTAGTGCTTATGACTTATCAACCAGAAATACACGGTACAGACTCCAAACAACCACACGATCCACATACTTGAAGTGGTATTTCAAATATGACTGTGTGATAAAATACCTTGTGCCTATATCGGACATGCTGTTACAGAAATTATGCTATATGTATCATTTATGCTGCTCTTGACATTCATATTTTGTTTATTATCAATGTATTGGTGATACTCGACAAAATTCTAAAGCTCTGTGTTACAGTAAAAAGGAGGTTATATCTAATAAATCTTTCAAACTGTATGTGGAATGATTTAACTATAATACAAACCTTTATGTTTAAGCTGTCATTGTGTCATTTTACAACTGTAAGAAAGGATATCAATATTCAATTACTTCTCTATTTCGTCACCATTTGTACCTTACCTTATTTCTAGCATATCTATAGGAGTTTTGTTGTTTACTGATGTATCAAAACAAATAGAACAATATCAGTCAGATCTTGGTAAATGTATTATAAGATTTAGGAAAAATAACACTGTACATGTTCTACCCAAAAGATATTTGCTTGAATTTTGTTTAAACAACATCAGTTCAGTCAACATTTTTAGTAGACACTGATGTCTTCATCTTGTATATGTTCAAGTGACAATTTAAGCACACAGTGGTGTCATAGAAGTGACATAATCACTCCCCTGAAACTTTTCTAAAATGTAAATATTTTATCTTTGAAATATATGAAAGGTTTGATTTTCATACGACCACAAAAATTTTGTGGTCGTATTAATGGTATGAAGTTGTCGTCATCGTCGTCGTCGTCGTCCAAAGACGTTTGGTTTCCAGACAATAAGTATGGGTCTCTATGAAATTGTACCACAAGGTTCCATACCTCAAAAGGAATGTTGGGATCGATTTTGGCCGTTACTGTCCTAACCGTCTAGGAATAAGGGACCAAAAACAAGAATTTTACTTGTTTCTGGATATTAACTTGTGTAAATTTATCTCTATGAAATTGTACCACAAGGTTCCATACCTCAAAAGGAAGGTTGGGATTGATTTTGGGGATTAAGGCCCAAACCGTTTAAGTATTAGGAGGTAAAAAAAACAAGGATTTTCTGGTTTCCGGAAAATTACTTAAGTATAAGTCTATGGATCTATGAAATTGTACCACAAGGTTCCATACCAAAAAAAAGGGAGGTTTGGATGGATTTTGGGGGTTATGGCACTAATGTATAGGAATTAGGGGCCAAAAAAAGGGCCACAAACATTACTTTTCTAATACTTTGTTCTTGACCAATTTCAATGGGGTTTAATTCAAAGTCTTGAATTTTTGGGTTTCTTTAATATGCTGAATCTAATCGTGTATATAGATTTTGGGCCCCGTTTTCAAATTGGTTCAAAGGGTCCAAAATTAAACTTTGTTTGATTTCATCAAAAATTGAATTAATGGGTTTTTTTGATCTACCGAATCTAACTGCATATTTATATTTTAAATTTTGGGCCTGGTTTTCAAATTGGTCCACATTAAGTCCAAAGGGTCCAAAATTAAAACTTTTTTTTTTGGTTTGATTTCAACAAAAATTGAATATATGGGGTACTTTGATATGCTAAAATCTAACCGTGTTTTTGGATTTTGTGCCCCGTTATCAAATTGGTCCACATTGAGTTCCTAAGGGTCCACAATTAAACTTTGATTTAATCCAAAATTTCATTCTTGGGGTTATTTGATATTCTGAATCTAATCATGCATTTAGATTTTGGATATTGGACCATAATAGGTAATTGTCCAATTTCAAATTTTTGAGTTCTTAGACCACAGTTTTTCTGTGTCGGAAACCTATGTTGTGTCAAATATTTAATCACAATCCAAATTCAGAGCTTTATCAAGCTAAAATTTTGTATCCATACTGCCCCAACTGTTCAGGGTTCGACCTCTGCGGTCGTATGAATCTGCGCCCTGAGGAGCATTTTATTGATAAAATGTAGTCAATAAATTTACTCATGTAATTTTCTGCTATTTTAATTAATCCAGAAACATAAGATGCGTGCATCGAAATTGGTTAGGGCCAAGTTCGCTATTACAATCACATAGAATCTGATGTCCGTCCTAAATTTAAATAAAAATCTCCTCTGAAACCTCTTTGGCCTATTAACGCCAAACTTGGTCACAATTATCCATAGTGTGTTTAGTTAGAAAATGATGGATTTAGCTTGCAGACCTTCAAACATGTTCATTTTATACAATTAATCTTTTGGGACGCATCACATTTGCTCGAATTTGAGGATTATTCTTTTTTATGTTTCCTCGCATCTTTTGATAATTATTTGCGTTCGTATTATGTTATGGTGTTGTCTGCGTCTGCTTCTGAAGACATTTTGGTTCGCAGACAATAACTTGAGTATAAAGTGCATGGATCTCGATGTTTTTTTTAGGATATTGTATTAATGATGAATTATATTTTGGAAATTGTTTTTTTCTTCTTTTTTGTAAATTTTTTGAAGAACTTTGTGATAGGTTTGTTTGTTATTCTGTATAGATTAATTTTCTATATACATATCTAATTTTGTGTCAATTTAACCCTTTCCGGACCCATTATATAAAATAATTTAATCAACGTGTGGTTGCCTCAGAAAGATGATTGGATGAGTTTAAGGGTCATGACCTTTATCAGCTCACAGGATGAATAAAAAATAACAGGTGTTAATGAAATTGACAACTTTGTAGAATGTGGAAGGCACTCGAAGGGGATTTTCGTCTATAAAAAATGAAAATTTATTTGATAATCATTAGAGAAAGAGATTCTTAAATAGTTACTCGTGGATTATCGGATTTATCCAATCTCGATAGTTAAATTATTAATTTTAATGTCCTCGCCGAGGCTCAGACTTTAAAATTTGATTATTTAAATATCTCGATTGGATAATGGTACCAATGTAAGAATCTATGTATGATATATAGAGAATATCATATGGCTTATTCAATATCACATCCGTATCAATCCGAGACACCAATATAATCCCAAGAGCTCTGCTCGAGGGATTATATTGGTTGAGGGTTGATACGGTGTGTGATATTGAAAAAGCCATATTATATACACTTTATTATATACATATACCTCACGTAGATGTTTTTTATGTTACATGACGTCATACAGGTAAGGAGGTTTGAAATGACGTCATACAGATTATAGGTTTGACATGACGTCATACAGAATAGGGGTTTGATAAAGCCTTTGCAACAATGACTGCAATAGATGACGTGACGTCATACAGATTAAAGGTGTGATAAAGCCTTTGCAACCGTGCTGATATCGATATCATCACGGGTGGCTGATACAGCACGCTTGCCAATGATTGTATTACACATACAATTTATCTGTATTTACTACTAAATATATAATAAAACTTTAATATTATAAAAATAGTTGTTATATTTTATATATTTACGCAATATTTCGCTAAACAAATTAGCTTCATCAGGAGCGTGCAGCCATCCAGGTAAAATCGGATGCTGTGAAGAAATTTTTGCCTAATTTTAATGGTTACTGATCGGTTTAGTAAATAAATAAGTCAGTTTGTAAAGTTGGGTCAACTAGACGTTCTACAAACGGCCTAGAATCATTCTATGCTAATTATTATGAGCATTTATTCAGCACATCATGTATTTTTGTGTTTTTGAAACTAATTTAAAATTCCAAACATCACATATATCAACTAAAGGGCTTGATGGTGTACACCAGCAATGAGAAAGAAAACACCGATTTTCTGACAGAGCAATTCCAAAAATAAGGACTTAGACTAATGGAAGTGCTGCTTGTGTAACATAAAATAATGTTCCCCATGAATTGTCCGCCGAGCTAAATTGCATATAAAATACTGTCGGCGGACACTATTTCATAATGAAATACTGTCTAGAATACATAGTGTCCTTGTCCATAAAATTTCTGGACAATACTTCTCTCCATGAAAATATTTCTTAATCCCTGAGATTCCTATGCCATAAAATTGTAAATGTTCAGCCTGGAATTTTAAAAATATTTTTCATGAAAAGTATGTGCATAACAATTAATTGATGCATAAATTATTTTTACAGGTTTGTTCGATTAATATTACATATCAAATAAAACAACTTAATGATATCATTATCCAAAATATTAAATGTTTATAACCTACTTTAAATGGGAAAATTTTTTATGACAATCCATCAAAATATTGTCTCAATATAGCCATAAGGACTTTTACAATGAGTTTCAGACATATGGCCTTGAAGAAGGTCAACCGGAAGTACATTTTTGTGTATTCATGTGAAATTTACTAGAACTTTATGTATTTTTTGGAATCAGTGTAAAGTAAGTGTACTCATCACGATTGTCTCCCTTAAGTAAAAGTTCAAAATCGAGAAACAATTAAATTTCCGTGTAGATTTTTAAAGAATCATACCCTAAAGCAAATTTCACGTGCAATCGGGAAAAGGTGTCTTAATCGAGTTGGAATAGAAGAATTGATGATGATACAACAGTTATACGATAATTAAGGATTATGTATGTACCCTTTTGTTGTTTCAATGCTCAAAATATAGAAATATCCTGTTGGGGATATAATTTTACTATATTGTACTGTGCCAAATTTTTTTTTTTCATTTTAGGGGAAATGATTACATGAAACTTTTGGTTATCCATTTTCCTAAATACTAGATGATTTATGAGTTTGATCACTTGTAAATGCTGATCATCTTATTCATTTTCTGAAAAAGTGACTAATAAAAAGTTGTGTAATGAATTGCACTTTGCAGGATTTTCTCTTGAATCCACAATTTTATCTTTTTTAATTTTTTTTTGACGAGTGGTTTCAGCTCTCGAAAAAATCATAAACGGTTGAGGCACGTCCACCTCAACTAGTATATAACACACGCTGCTTAATGTTGTACTTTATATGAAGACAAATATCAAAGAGTTTCATCACTACAAATTCCTTGCAAGCTCGTTCGTAAAAAAGGAGCTGTTCATTGGAAATCATTTATATTGTCGATTTCATCGATCCTTGAAGAAAGTCTCTGAATCCCACATCCCATCGCTGCTAGCGTCGTTACTTTGTCTGTTGATGGTAAACTTGGACAATCATGATGAAAAGACAACAAAATTTTAAAAGTTTTTTTTTTTTTTTTTTTTTTTCCATAGTTTAAATTTCCTTGTGCATTTTTGCGGTTGGAGTCCTTTAGAAGGAGTCTGTGGTTAAAAAGTTCCAGACAATAATTTTGTCTTGACAAACAACAATTTTGAAACTAAATAAGGGATTGACATTCATCCAAAAGACCAACAACTACTTAGAATGATATTCTCAGAATAAGACAAAATCCTTCAAAAGCAAAATACATAAAAAAAAATGAGAAAATTATGAAAAAGCTCAATTTGAGAATTGTTATTAATACATCAACGTACACAAAATATATTGATTTGAAAATTTTTTTTGATAGTTTGACGATAGCAAATGGTATCAAAAACGATAAATTAACGAAATTCTGAAAAATTGCATAATTATATGTAGCAGATCAATGAAATATTATTTTTTCAGTGCTCACTCTCTTCCCCATCATATGGGCGAAATCATATCAAATTTTATATCCATGTATAGTGGCTCTTACAAATACAGATCAGCATAATTAAATGGGAAAAACATTCAAATCCTGGCCTACGGACTGATAATTTTTAAAACATTGAATAACTTAAACTTAAATTTAAATTTTAAAAAACACAACATGTATTGCTGGAAACAGAAAAGGAAAAATGCGAAAATAATGTTAGGTTGTAAACATGATAATGATAAAAATCCTATCTTTCTTAATACATCAACGTTGAGAAAAAAGATAAATTGATTTAGCTTTAAGCATAAATCCTCTTATAATTGATTTGTATCTACATTCAACCGGTATTAATTTAAGTTCCAACAATTACAGCCTACATGAAAAAACTAAGAATATGAAAAAACTTATATTAACAAGCTATTCACGGTTGACATAATATTATCCTCGAATACTAAATAAACACTTTTGTTTGATTTTTAATGAAACCTGAAAAATTTATTTTAGTGAGGAAATTTTTTTTTAATACAGAACGTTGTTATTGTCAATATTGTTAAACATTTTTTTTTTCAACAATAAAAGATCGCTTTATGTGCAGAGCAAAGTAACACAGAGTTAGCGTTAAAATTAAATTAGATAATAATAATTTTGTGAACAAAACATAATAAATACACATAAAAAAACATGATTATTCGATATTGTGTTTAATATTTAATTGATATCGACTCTTTAAATCTTCATTTTCTTCGTCAAAAATACATTTCTTGATTTACGGTGCAAATACTTTTACAAATAGCTGTATTTGATCGATAATAACACACAAAAAAACCAATCAATTTGCATCATCAAATCAGAAAAAAAAAATGATTTGATTTTGTTCAAAAGATTTACTATTCAATTCAAAAAATATATTTCTAACCAAAATTTGATAATTTAGATGATATTATGGATAAGAATTGAAAAGAGTGAGATAAAATGATTAAATACATCGATTGCAATGAATTACACGACTCTGACATTAAAAGCAAACTAATTGTGTATGCGAAAAAAAAGATATATATAGCTCTTTACATTTTTTACTTCCATAAAAAAAACCTCTTGTCAATATAATAAAAGAATAACTATTCAAAGATTTCAAATATCGAAAAATATTCAACAAGCAAAGCTTTGCCAAAGGCTCCTAGCATAGGACAGGCCCAATAATGCAGCGGGGTTAATCATGTTTTGTGAGATCTCAACACCCTATAACTCTAGTTAATGTATAAAAAAAACAAACCACAGCAATACGCGCAGTAAAATTAGTTAAAAAAAAGAGTCCGATGTCAGAATAGGTAATAAAAAAAACTATGCAAAATCACAAAAATTAACAAAAAACCTTAGTTACTGACATGCCAACTCCAGATCGCAAATTAAACTCATTAAAAGATTATGTCTTTTTCATGTGAAAATCAACCACAATCTTTATAACATCATAAACTATATGAGAACATAACTGATTCGTTGTTGTCGTCTGTCCCAGAGAAAAAATTCTTCAAATAACAATTATATGAAATTATTAATTCAATCTCTAATTGAATATGTATATAGATTTTTAAAATATCAAAATTTCAAATTATATCATCAGTATCACAATGTGAAATCAAAAGTCTGATTTATGAAATCTAAAAGAAAAAAAACTTTTTGCTTTACAACAAAAGTCTTTTTTTGACAGTTATAAGATCTTTATTTATATCTAAAATGTACTATAAAAGAACTAGTTACTGATAATGTCAAAACATTTTTTAGTTTTCAGTTATAGATTCCCTTAGACCAGAATTTCTTTCGTATTATTTGTAATTAATATCTAAACTGTATTGAAAATAGTAAAATAACTAATATTTCAGGAAAGGTCA